GGAGGGAAGGAGGTAGGGAGGGTAGGAGGAAGGGAGAGAAGGAGGGAGGGAGGGAAGGAGGTAGGCAGGGAAGGAGGTAGGCAGGGAAGGAGATAGGGAGGGAAGGAGGTATGGTAGGAGAAAGAATACCCACCCTAGTTGTTCTCTAGTTCTCAATATATCAAAGCAAGGCTCTTCCATCTTCATCTAAACACAAACAAACAAATGTCTAAATGTTGATCAAGATCAAGATTACCATTATATAAACAAGTAAGTAGTGTAAGATAATTTACCACACGTTTAGGTTCGATAGGTATCACTTATTATTACACAAATGTTAAGAGCCTGATATCTTTTTGATTCACTCGTTTTCCATATCACGATATTGCTCCGTCGCGCGCAGACTCGCTTGTTTGCTATATCGTGGTATGGGAACTCGTGAATGAAAAATATATCAAGCTTTTAACATGTGATAATTTCTATAATATACTAGCACTAGACTCACGATAAGTAATTCCATCACTGCAAAGTCTTCTACTGAAGCTGGTCCAGACTACAACAACGAAGAATTGAGATGAATGGCAATAAGATAAAAATATATATAATGTGATGGGATACGTATGGTGTTTAATACCTTACCTGATAATAGTTAGTAACTACAGTGTTGGTATCATCCTTATTGAAGCCTGCAATACGACAAATACTCTCCGTACACGGTAGCTCTACTACCCTTATCTGGAAGAGGACAGACAGAACAAAAAGCATTAGTATAAACCTACTAATGCTCAGCCAATCAGAGCGCAGGATTTGTGATAGACCACCATGGTCTATCACAAATTCTACGCTCTAATTGGCTGAGATACTAGCTACTTAGCTACTGGTTGAGCAAACAGTGAAGAGTGGTCGCCCGATGGATTTGAAAACTATCTACAAACCTTGGGATGATAACCAAGTTGAAGAGGAGAAGGATTCAATTTACTGAAAAAGAAAAAGAAGAAAAAAAGAAAATTTTATACTACATTATCTCCCAAGTATACAATTGATTTTTTTGTATTATCCCATGAAGCTAATACATTAGCCGTAAACTTCAGTCTGAGTAAAAAAAATTGTACAAAATAGTGCAAAGTTTCGTGTCTACGGTCTACCAAACTTACTAATTTGTGCAAATGTGTGCAAATTCTGACAAAGTGTTTCAAGGATATATGGTATGCACTCTAGTGTAAACAAACTAGCAGACTATTGCAAATCATAAGACCCTGGTTTATTTGGTATTAGCAATAATAAAAACAAATGAAGCCCTGTTTCTTTCTATAAATTGAAAGATTTCCACACCAACACTGAAGGTAATATCCACTTACCTACAAAGATATTCCTGAAGACAGATGGCTTCCTCTGAAGTAACATTCCCTTGAATCAGACTCTCTACGTACAGTTGAGACTTAAAGGACGAGGCAAAGTTCTGTAAAGTGAGAGATTATTACAACTTATCACAACCTGAGAGATCCTTGAACTTGTACTTGCATGACTTTGACTTGTACCCTACCCCTCCCCCCAAGAAAACAGAACTAAAACACCCCTGCACGCTAAAACCAGAGAAAACGCTGAGCGCTTTCATTTAAAACCCATAAAATTTAAAATGTTCTCAATGCATGCGGAGTGGAGAGTTTACAAACACTTTTCAGAATGGAGACATTAGAAAACGGAGGCTTATCGTATTCGTGCGGAGGCTTTAGAAAATGCTGACGTCATTCACACGGGTACCTCTGTTTTTCGCATGCACAGATGTGAGACGATATCACAAGAATCATTCCCGACCATATCGGCATTTGTGATCGTTTTATTGTGGACGCAATAAAAAAGCTATGTAAACGCTGGTGTGGACGCGAGGCTTTCGAAGCGTTTTCGGTGAGACCGCATTAGTATTATATTCACATCGGTCTCACTGTACTCATGTATGAGTATGGAGTAGACCTGGCGAAGCTCTCAAAAGGACCAAAACAGCGCAAGGGTGGGGAAAAGGTAATACAATGAGAACAACCGCAAGTTGTGGGAGTGCAGCGAGGACACTATAATACTTGGAAGGCTCTTGAGCTATCACCTATAGATCCGTTTTGTACTATCACGTGCCCACACCCATAATACAGCTTGGACTGCCTGTGGGTAGATTGCAGAACAGTAAAAAGATCCCTTTGCGCTTGCGAATTAAATTCTTTCTTATGTGAAACGATTGTATTGTTCCTGCCATCTAACATGGCTGCCGTCACCTGATGGTGCAAAACCTCTATAGTCATTGGAGCTTACCTCAACATCCTTCAGGGTAATCTTATCGATAGCTCCTCTCTTGTCGACAATTGTCCATTTGACCAGCTGTAGAATACTTAGCCTTACAGACCTGAAAAAACACAAATTTTATATAAGCAGTGAAGTAATAGAGTTGACTTTTGTAACTGGGATTCCTGTGGCTATCCAACTAGAGAACAAAAAAAGGATACTCTATGTACCCTTCTCAAATTGTCTTGAATGCAAAGCTAACATGGAAATACAAAAGAAATGCCACAAATTCCATCGAGAAAAAAATATTTCTTTCGTTTTTCCATGTTAGGCTCGCATCCAAGATAATTTTGAGAAGGGTCAAGAGAAAGGTCCATTGCAAAGGAACCCAGAAATTCTGTAAAAGCAGCACTTTTTTTAAACTTTTCTTTTACCTTGCAAGTCTCTGTGGCTTGATAATGATGTTACGATACACTCGAGTTAATTGTTTCTACAAGGCCAGAAAGAAAAAGCTAACAATGAAATATATTTGCCGAAGTAATAAAGACCTACCATGCATTGAATACCGTATTTACTCGTTTAAGCAACGCGGAGTTTATTAAAGTTTTTGGGTTTTATAAACTGTGTTAATTCAGGAGCGGCACTTATTAATCATTTTGGTCCTCCACGTTCGTCTGGGCACTTATTATGCAAGCACTTTAGCCTGCGTAACGGCTGCAAGCACCTATGCTTGCTATACTATGCGAGGTAGCTTGAATTATGCAACTGATTACGCAAGATCATACGTGGAAAATCTGGATGATGTTAAAAGGTATTTGAGGCAAACACTTACCTTGACCATATTAAACGTCTGTTCATTAACTACAAAGTTTACGAAGTAATCTACAATGGTCTTGAACAAAAGCTGTAGAAAGAGAGTTATACTGTATTTACACAAGAATCCCAAAAGTGGTTAAACAAGGAAGATGGCCGCGTTTCAGAGCAAACGTTCACACCAAAAACTGAAATTCCACGTAAAGAATAAAATGGAATCCCGAATCTTAGAAGAAGGCAGCATTCATCCTTCCTTTCCCTTCTTTTATCTAAACATTTTTTAACAATTATTCGCCAAAGGTGAACCCGATATTCATTGAGCCTGAGGCGAATGCTTCTTTTTATTATTTTTAACACAATTGAATTTGAATGAATGATGAAGAAAAAACTTTTTTTCTTCAAATTTTTTTATCTCAGCAAGCGGCACACATCAACAAACAAGCGGTCGCAAGTGTGCGTGTTATATTCACCTGTTGGTGGATATAACAGCATAAGACGTAAATTGTGATCAAAATTGTGACCAGTGAGCGCACCGGATTTGTGTAAAAATACTAAATTCTATTATTTACAAAAGTAAGATAATATTCCCACTGAGAATTCCCACACACAATGCCTGAAGTGGCACTTAGTTATGGGGAGATGTCCTCCAATGCGTTAGCTTTAGGGTAGCTCGCAGTGGGTAGCTCGTTTAATTCATCGCCTCGGGGGGGGGCAGGGGTGGACGTGGGTGGGGTCGAGCTGTCTCATACTCGAATTCCTAACTGGTTCGAAGAGGGTTATTTTGTGTAAGGCAGATCATTTATACCCGTTCCAGACACGTTGGAGTGTAAGATGTAATCCCCTGGGACGCATTCCTCTCCAGTAGTATATAAAACGAGTGATATTTGAGACATCGTGCGTAGATCTCCAGAGAGAATATTGTCCCTCTCCTCCATGCTAGGGCTTGTATGGTTTACTTACAGGTAGTTTATGATTGAATCCATCCAGCTTTAATACAATTCCTGTCTCATGAATATTCATTGAATAACTAACAACAAAAACAACAAAAACTTTTAATTTTTTGTACATTTTTGAGAAAACTATAGACCCCTTGCATGTGACGTCAAAGCAGCTCAATTTGGGCAGACAAAACAATAGGTTCCAATCCTCAGGAGATTGGAATTCTTTTGTTTTGTCCCCCAGATCGAGCTGATTTGGCGTCACTTGCATGGGATCTATTGAGCTGCATTCCGACGTGCTGCAAGGGGTCTATAGTCAGTGTTATCTTGCACACCAACCTTAGCTGAGCGACGTCTGCTGCGTAGGAAATTTCCTTCAAGTTGTATTCAAGAACTTTGAGAAATATTTCTGTAAGAACCATGCTATAAATAAAGCAAAGAAAATAATCAAACAATTCTTTTTAGAGCGGTTTCATATGAGTGGGGAACGATGCGGCAAATTAATAGCCGTACGTATCTTACCGTAGCCGTAACTACCTGTGATTGGATAAATTACTGGAAAACAGTGGGAAGCTGTTCCCATTATACGGTATGTTGTACGGTGTTCGTGCTGTAAGTCTGTACCGTATGTTTCATACTCGTACGGGAACCATTTTTATGGGAATCCATTCAAAAATCAAAACCTTTTTAACAAAGTAACAACACTCAAATGAAGAAAAAAATTCATCAATCATTTAACTATTCACTTCACGTATTGTATCAGGCATTAGGCGCACTGTAATCCGCTGAACTAAAGATGAGAAATGATTGAACTATCAACGAAGGGAAGGCAAGGCAGGGCAGTTTTCAAAGATCCAATTTGTCAGCTTACCTCGCAGGAACGTGGTTTACGTTTGGCGAAATTAAGTGAAAGTAGTATCGAGCTGTAAAAACGAAACACATTAAAAAACATCTGATCCATATGTATGCAAAGAATGCGAAACTGGTGTATAGAGGTTTTGCACCATCACGTGCCGGCGCCATAATCCAGCTTGGACTTCCTGTGGTTAGATGGCAGAACAATAAAATCCCTTTGCTCTCGGGAGTTGAATTATTTCTTATGTAAAACGGTTTTATTGTTCCAGCCATCTAACATGGCTGCCGTCACGTGATGGTGCCAAACCTCTATTTTGGAAGAGAGGATTCGGATAAAAGGAAAAGATTCTTAAAAACTGTAGCTACGTCATTACCTCTTGGTGTGTTGAATTTATCGTCCTTGCGATGCCATACTTTACCAAAATCATTGTCTAGTATTACTACTGGAAACTGAAAAAAAAAGAAATAAAAACAATGAGGCTGTTGAAACAATGAAAAACAGCAAAAAAATATATACAGTAATATACAGTAAGAAACAACAACAGCGACGACAGAATGAAACAACAGTAACAGCAGCAGTGAAGACAACCGTGACACAATAACATTGGCAGCAACAATACCAGCAGTAACAACAACTACAGCAGCAGCACACCATAACCGAGAAAACAATAACATTAGCAACAACAATACCAGCAGCAACAAAAAACAACTGCACCAACAACGATAGCAGCAGCAACAAAAGAACAACAGCACCAACAACAATGACAGCAGCAACAAAAAACAACAGCACCAACAACAATGACAGCAGCAACAAAAAACAACCGCAACAACAACAATGACAGCAGCAGCAACAACAACAGTAGCAACAACAACAACAGCAGCAGCGAGGATAACCGTGACAACAATAATATTAGCAGCAACAATACCAGCAGCAGCAACCAAAACCACAACAGCAAGGAAAAACCATTAGCACTGTCAACAACAACAAAAGTAAGACCGATCGCCATATTAGGCATACGTTATTAAACACAATTAGAGAAAATTAGCAGACACAAGCAGCAGATTCAGCCAACCTTTTCAACAAATACTTTACCTCGGGTGACTTGACATCTTTCTCTTTAATCTCAAAATCAGTTGCTACAAAGAACAACATAAAATTAATGTGTTATTTGGACGAGTTAACAAATATCAAAAAAGAAGTAAACCTTTTTAGCTATGGTGTAATGTTTTCCCATTTCAGACCACATACGATTCTCTAGAGTATCCTTTCTTTGTTTAACAGCTGCACATGGGAAGACACATGAATATGGATACAACTCAAACAAAAAGTCTTATTCTCAAGAGAATAACACGTTGTCTGAAACGTGAAAACATTTCGCCCAAGGCAAAAGCGTTTTTTTCAAGTTCCTTCTTACCGATGAAGATGTTTTCAGTTGGGATGTGAAGTTCAGGATTGAGCTGCAGATCTTTTAGATACAATTAATGTCTAGTAAGCACAATATTTTGACTTAAACGGAACAGAGTTACAGAAAAATAAAAGGCCATGGGTGGTTTGCAATCGTCTCATTAATGGAGCCTAAAATAACAAAAAGCAACCCGCTCCAGTAGCCCCTGTACCAATGAAGCTGATCGTTACAATATTTTGCAGCACTGACTAGAATTGAAACATTCCTTACCGACCCCTACCCTGCGTGGAGCGCTCAGAGAATGAGGGGGGGGGGGGGGACATACGGACGACATGACATATTCTACTTACTTGTCCAAGCTTTTTTCCACTCTAGATCAATGTCTGAAAATTAATATACCGCGAAGCAGAACATTAAAAAAAAAAACAAGTTGGAACACGACAACTATAGAGATGTATAAATATAAACATAAAAGAAATCAACTCTGACAACTTTATACACGTGACAGTTGTCAACTAATCACTGATAAACTTGTGTCTCTCTATGTTTAACGTCCCTTAGTGAGACAGGACCGCCATTTTACGTGGTCATTTGAGCCACGGCGAAGGTCTAACCATTTGCAGAATAATTTTTAGACCAAAAACATCAACTTCTACTTAGATGTTTTTAGAGACCCTGAGCGTTGGTGCAGCCGAGTTTCAATTACCACGATCAACCACAACCTACCGCACGAAAGTCCGATGCTCAACCAACTGAACCAACCGGGTAGCTGTCATGATGTTTGTATCTTACAACAACAGGTCACGTGACCCTACCCCCCGTAAAAAGAGACGTTGTGTCAAAATGAACACCAGAAATCGAAAGAGCACCTCAATATTAGCAAGAAAATAAAGTTTCCGCTTATGACATGTAACACAGGAGATATGGCTTTAAATACAAAATCGAATATTTTATAAGGATTTGTATGGCGAAATGTGCTGGATGGCAAGCCATTCGAACCAGCACATTTTCCCACACAAATCCGCTTATAAAATATTCGGTTTTATATTCAATGTCATTTCTCCTATAGTCAACATCATAAGCTAAAACTTTGCCTTCTTACTAATATTGAGGTGCTCTTTACATTTCTGGTGTTCATTTTGACCCAACGTCTCTTTTTGGGAGGTAGGGTCACGTGACATGTTGTTGCAAAAGGTCTATTCTCCAACTTACCGATTGATTTATAAGAAGTCTGGAACCAAGGCTCAACCTCACTACACTCGTCTTTAAAACTTTTAGAAGAGATTGCGATGTTAGCTTTATCCGGCGTAAGCAGATCAAGGGCATTGGAAATCACCTAATGATAGATGAATTCATGGGTAATGAGTTAGAGAGGGCAGAAAAGTACGTAGAAGCTAAGTGTTGATTGCATAACGATGAAACATTATTCCGATAGCTTTATCCGGCTTAAGATGGTCAAGGACACTTGAAATCACCTACTGATAACAAATGAATCATGGTTAGTGAGTTAGCAAGGGGAGAAAGGTGCGTAGAAGCTTAATGTTGATTGGATAAGGAAAAGCGCGCATGTGTGCACTAGATTAAAAAATTAGGAGAACCAAGTCTTACCTTGGGATTAAACTCCCACATCAGCTGATCGCCCGTCAGAAAGTCTTCTTCTGGGTAAAGCTGTTGAAACATTAAGGAAAAACGTTGTTCAGTAATGAATAAAAAAGCTTTTTATCGCTAGTCACCACAGCAAGTAAAGCAGTGGCGCAGCTCAACGGGGTCAAACTAAATTTCTAATAATAATAATAATAATAATAATAATAATGATGATGATGATGATGATTGTCATGATGATGATGATGATGATGATGATGATAATAATAGCTGTAAAGCTATTTGAGGACACAACATAAATTAATAAATGAATATAAAAATCTATAGCTAAAAAAAATGAATAATAATATTTAAAAAAATATCTAAATGAATACTGATAATAATAATAAAGTTCTATATAAATATTCTAAATATTCTGAGCAGTCAATGGGTAAAAATTATCAAAATGTCGTAATAAAAACCAAGATTAAAAATATTATAAAATTTCTACGTATTGAATAGATAACAATTCTGGCAGTTAGAGTTAAAACATGTGACTAAGTTTCCCTAACAGCTGTTATATACTCCATGAATGACCCCGGAGAACAGCTCCTTAAACAACTTTGAACAGAAAAGCTTTTAGAATTTGATAAGGAAAAGCGAAGGTTGGGGTTTTGGATTCAGGCCACAGAAAGCCCTAGAGAAGGTTTACGTGACGCACGATCGGCCTTTATATGCGCGACTGCTCGGAACTGGAAACGTTAATTTTTAGTCCAGCGACCGCTTGTAACCATTCTTGTTTATCATTGGCTCGTTGTCCTTGTTCACCCCCAAAAAGAAGCATTGCAATTCGTCAAAGATCACTGATTGTTGCAACAAGTCATAGACCTTTTCCGAATTCGCTTGAGTGACCACGAAACAATGCCTCCATGTCGAGGTTAAACTTGATAAAATACAGTAAATGTATGAACACATGAAGTCCAACCTCGACTTGGTAACCGGAAGTAAATAATTTTTTGTACGAGCAGAAGTGCTTCAGTTCATACCCTCTTATAGCTAATGTGAAAGGGGGTGTGGGGCAAGTGTGGAGAGTCTCGTGAAATAGCAAGTGAATAATAGAGTGGAGGCGAGAGAGATAACGTGAAAAAACAGTGATTTCAAGCGAATAAAGACGAATTTAACGATACTTTTTGTGTACGGATCACTTCTGCACATCAATTGGAGCCATTGTGTCATGGTCACTGAAGCTAATTCGAGAAAGGTTTAACATGATATTTTACATTATCTTACTTGCATGTTTTCAACCAAGTTTTCCACGTAGTCATAGGGCTCGCACTACAAAAGGAAACAATTGAACAATTGACATTGTATCCATATTCATGTGTCTTCTCGTGCGCAACCGTTAAACAAAGAAATGATACTCTAGGGAATGACATGTGGTCTGAAATGGGGAAACATTGCGCCCGAGCCAAGGTGGTCTATAATGAAGTACGCGCAAGAATATGACTAGTAGACCGTAATAAGAGAATCTTTTCCAATCTATCTTGATTATCGAGAGAAGTTGCGTACCTGTTCTTGAAACAGAAATTCCAATTTTTCGATAGTTTGTATTTCATCATAAATTCTGTCAAGAAACAAACAAAGTAACAAAAAATTGTAAATTATTTTGAAAAAAATATAAATAGGAAGAAAGGAAGAAATTCCATTCGTAGAGGGGAAAAATGATATTATAAATTTTACAAATTTGTGATGGTTTAGTTATACACCTATTTCAATAAACATTGTCATGGGTCATTCCAACATGGAAATGGTTTTCGTTGAATACAAAGAACATTGAATCAGTCTCAACACTAAGATCCATGTTCTTGACGAGAATAAGAAKCAGAAACACTAGTCATTCCAGGTATTCTTGGATCTTGGAATGACCTATCTATCGCTTTTCGCCTATTCTTCGATTGCACGTTACGTCATCGCGGCCTCTAGGGGGAGCGTTGGTGCCATTTAACAAAAGATTTCTCATTAGCATCAATTGTTAACGGTACCACAATGGCCGCCATGTTTTTGTCTTTTGTCTCTCTTGGGAATGCTTGATGAAAACGTTAATTGAAATAGGTTTATAGTCGGCTACGCCTCGTGAGTTCATAACATTTTGACCAACTGTTGATGTCATAACCTGGTAAATAAGATGACATACAACGCTATTTAAACCATCACAAAACCACGCAACTCGAAATTTGTTGACGTAACTCGATGGTATGTCTTCTTATTTACCACGGCTCTTGACCAATCAGAAAGCGAGAAGATGTACATTTTGTGCTAAAAAAAGAGAATACAAATATTGTATCAAGATTATTGTTTATTCTTATAAACCTTTGTTGTGGTCCTATCTGTCTTAACATCTCAAGGTACTGGAAAATTATGGTGATGATCTGGAAATGAAAAAATCGATTTTGCTTTCATTACATTTTCACATATATCCGTGTGGGTTAATGTGCGAAAAAATACTTTAACTTTTCTTACCTCGAAAATATGCTTCATTCCTTCATCCTAAAAAAAAACACGAAGATGTGAAGACGAATCCTTCAAACAATCAATGATTGACTGCAGTTTTTGTGTAATATCAAAAATATCAAAGAGAAGTTTCGTACGAATAAAAAGCTCACGGCATGAACACGGCCATGACACGGCAAGGCATACGCCAGACCAATCACATTGCGCGAGAATTAACTATCCATCCAATCAAATGCCCGGGACACGGCACGAACACAACGCGGACACGGTCACGCCAAGGTCACGGCACTATCAAACAAATCNGAGAATTAACTATCCATCCAATCAAATGCCCGGGACACGGCACGAACACAACGCGGACACGGTCACGCCAAGGTCACGGCACTATCAAACAAATCACATTGCGCGATAATTAACTATCCATCCAATCAAATACCCGGGACACGGCACGAACACAACGCGGACACGGTCACGCCAAGGTCACGGCACTATCAAACAAATCACATTACGTGAGAATTAACTATCCATCCAATCAAATGCCCGGGACACGGCACGAACACAACGCGGACACGGTCACNGGCACTATCAAACAAATCACATTACGTGAGAATTAACTATCCATCCAATCAAATGCCCGGGACACGGCACGAACACAACGCGGACACGGTCACGCAAAGGTCACAGAACTGTCAGACAAATCCCATTGCGCGAGAAAAAATCCGCCAATCGAGTCAAAATTCTAGAAAACACCACGGTCGCGGCAAGGCAACCCTACGGCACCGACTTTTTTACAGTTACTACTATTGTCCACGCGCACACTTACTGCGCATCTTATGGGGATACTCGTATAAATAATTGCATGTGTCGTACTTACAGTCAAATTGACGAGACAAGGAAAAAGTGCCATGTTGGTGTTATGTTCAATACCAGTTTCTCCATTGCCGCACATCAAGCTCACTGCCCATGACCTAAAAGATTAACAGGACCATTCACATATATAAAGGCACACTTTGCCCCTATTTCTAGGGCTGGTTGTCGTAATCTTTTTAATAAGGTTGCCAATGTAGACTTACTGAAATTGTTAATGGAGAGCTGTAAATGTAAGGATGAGGATTTTGAAGTTACTTTATGATATAAATAGCAAAAAACTTGACTTACCTTTTGATTAAGAAAGAAAGCACACTACCTGGTCCTTCGTGTCCTAGTAGCCATGATACGTAATGCATTGGCTTGATTCTGGTTATACAACAAAAACGAAACTGTTACATGATGTGTAAAAGCAAAAAGATCGTCAAGTTCCAGGGGTGAAAACATGACATGTTCTTGATACCCTGAAACTACCTCTTGTATGATCTAAGTCAGGGCATGGCTAACTCACAGATTAAACCCTGTAACGACCTCTGGGCTGATCTAAGTCAGGGCATGGCTAACTCGCAGATCAAACCCTGAAACAACCTCTGGGCTGATCTAAGTCAGGGCATGGCTAACTCGCAGATCGAACCCTCAAAAAATCCTCTGGGCTGATCTAAATCAGGGCATGGCTTACTCACAGATCCATCTCTGAAACTACCTCATGGTTGATCAAAGCTAAGACATTGCTTAACTCACAGTTCAACTAAAATGTTTTCTAGTGAGAAAAATTCAAAAAAACCCAGAAAAAACATCACACTTGATGAAAGTTTACCTGTAATGTTCTTGTTGGCATGGCAACACCCAGGTGATTTCTAATTGGTTAATATCCTTGACTGGTAAAACTAGAACGAAAAAAAAAAACGCATTCACCAAACAGGTAACAAGCAAACTACTGTAATATATGTGAAAATTTTTTCAGTGCAGTTACTTTATTATCAAAGCTTGTAAATAGTACAATACCTTTATATAGCTTAGTGAAGAAGGAGTCTTCAAACGGAGGCTGAAACAATTATGGTTTAATTAATTTTTGTGAAATATAAAAAAAAAAACGTTTTTCAGAATGTTATCATTCAATTTTTTTTTTTTATTTTTATTTTTTTTATACTAAAAAATAATGGAACAATTAGATGACATGATTATTTGCATTAGGAATGAAGATTTTCACTACCCAGATACTTACTGGAAATTCTTGGAAAGTTGGCTTGGGTAGCAAGCTATTGTAAAAAAGAAGATATTGTTTTTGTGTTGCACTGATGGAGAGATGAAGCATGGGGGGATAGAGATCGGGATGAGGATGGGATGGCAGATGGAAGCAAGGGCGGATCCAGCCAAAAGTTTTGGGGGGGCTGGGGTAATTAAGTTTAGGGGGGGGGGGGGCTAATTGAGTTTCTTCCTTCAACACAACGGAAAATAATAAAAAAAGGATCTCATTCTTCAGTTTTGTTGTGTTTTGTTTTTTCTGCTGAAGGGGGGCTGATGCCTCCCCCTGGATCCGCCCTTTGGAAGATAGACAATGGAGATGAAAGAGGGAGGACAGCAGATTGGGGAACTAACATACAGGGAGGGGTGGGATGGGAATAGGCATCAGCATGTTGAGGAAAGAATAGTGCTGAAAAATTCATAAATTATGACAACTGAAGTTTAATTCATGAAATCTAATTTTAAATTTTAAATTTTCTTACTTATTTGGTATTTCGGCAAAGAATTCTTTCACCCACTCTTCAAGCGTGTCCAGAGACTCTGTTGACCAAAAGTTTTTCTGACTTAATTATTCACTCTATTAGTTCATGCGCAGTTGTATGGTGATAATATTAAGTAATATTGATAACATTAAGACAGCCCAGTGTATATGAGTTATAACTCAGTACTGTGCTGCAGATTTCCCATTCAAAGAAATATAATTAGCAAACCTTTAGAGCAGAGAGCCAGTGTCATGTACTGAGCTGAATACATCCTTTTCTGGTAGGACTTGAGGTGATTCTGCACATCAATACCCTATGATAAACATTCCAAGGAAAGATTTTAGCTTAGTTTCAGTGGTTTAGTGATGGGGGCAACCTCTTCCCCCAAGCTCCCCCCCTCTCCCTCCCCCAAGCCTCCTTCTCCACCAAAAACGTTTTACTGACCCTGAGGTATAGATCTGGGAACTCTAAAGATGAAACCTGGATGTGTGTTTATTGGCAGGGAAATGGTACATTGATTGCCCCCCTTCCACCATTTCCTCCCCCACCATCACCCCCACTGCAAAAAGTGAGCTTCTAGCTAGTATGAGTTCTCAAAGTCTCATTTAGTGGTTTGCATCTCAACCATCAATGGAGTGTTTTACAATAACTTACAAATTTCTCGCGCACTGATTGGTTATTTTTTATCATCGATAAGAGGACAGACAGATAAAGCTGACGTCAACCAGTGCGCACTCTTTCCGTTGGTTGTTTTGATCGCTAAAAATGAGAAGTTTTATCATTTTTGCTATTGTAAAAAACAAATTGACATCAGATTTTTATGTGTCTGTCCTCTTATTGACAATAAATTTCGCTCGGCTACGCCTCGTGGATCCACACTACTTTGACAATGTGATGACGCAATTTATGGTCAATAAGAGGACAGACACATAAAAATCTGATGTCAATTTGTTAAATAGCAAAAAGTCTTGAATAGTTCTCTAGAAGGTATAATAATGACTGCTCTTACGGTACCTTTTCTTTGGGGATGTTTTTCAAGGTTTCTTCATTTCCTGTTTGATCAAAATGAAGTCAGAATATATTTTTATCGACTGCTTTTAAAATCATTGTCATGGTATACTAATACAGACCACCAACAAAACTAACTTACCCCAAAGGAACTTCTTATAAGGATGACAATCTCTTGATAAACTTTGTAATAACTGCATCTTCTTAACTGTATCACTATGATAACTTTGCTTGAATTCTGCATCAAAAATATTTTTTGTCACAATGGGTGTAACACTAGTTAATCATGCACTGTACATGGGCTTAAAATAATGGCTAGTAAGTTGCAGATCATAATGACAGGCCAAATTAGTTTTAGCTCAGTCATACCTCGTTTCTGGCTCAACATTGCTGGTCAAAATGACCTGCAAGACAATGATATTGGTTTTTAGAGCTACCCCGTAAATCTGAGTATAAATAAAGTTTATGTACGAGTATGTATGTAATAATATGTGTTGTATGTATGACTGGACAAGTTCCAATTCTGGGTGTACATTGTCCGATGTCTGTCCATTATTTTAAGCCCTGTGTACTTTATGAGCAGCTGGCATGTGCCAGTCAACAATTATTTGCGGACATTTGGCCAACACAAGGGAGCTGACTGTTGGTTGAGTGCTGACAAATCATTGGACATCAGTTGGCCAATAATTGTTAAGAGCTCAGGCCATTAGTTGGCTAATATTGTCAAATGATGATGGCAGCCGACAACTATACTGGTCAATAAACAGCCAAAAAAACTAAAATCCAAGTAGTTTGTTAAAATTTGGAATAACACCAGTGAGTGAGTGTTGTTGAAATGTCAATGATGTGTCAGCCAAGTGTTGGTCAGGTGTCGGTGATGTGATGGCCAATAAGCAGCTGAATGTTAACTATTAGCATCAAATAACTGGATTCCCTGACGCCCTCTACTCCATTGTCCATTCCAAGTCTTGGTATGGTGTCAGCAATGCGTTGGCCAATAGGCAGCTGATTGTTAACTATTAGCATCAAATAACTGGATTCCCTGACACCCTCTACTCCATTGTCCAGTCCAAGTCTTGGTATGGTGTCAGCGATGCGTTGGCCAATAGGCAGCTGATTGTTAACTATTAGCATCAAATAACTGGATTCCCTGACGCCCTCTTCTCCATTGTCCAGTCCTTAAAGCTTATGTTAAATTTCCAGCATTTTTCTTACCACTTTCAACAGCTTGGATTTCTCTGTCAACACTTCCTTCTTTTAACAAAGGAGAGATAAAAAACTGGGCAAACCTAAAAAAATTGCACCTAATAAGTAATTGAATCTTTATAAATCTTGATCAATTATAATAGTTCTTTTAGTAGATGCTCAGCATTCTGCGGTGTTGCAAAGAAGAGAGGGAGGGGTGAGAAATACTGCTCTTTATTGTGCCTCACCCTCTCTTTTTCTCAATCCTGCAGATCATTGCTGAGCAATATAGGCTGTTTAGTCTATCATAGTCTATATTAGTTTGCATGCTTACCTGTCCAGTGCTTCTTTTAAATACTTCCGACGAATATCAAAAACAAACACTGTCTGAAAATAACATTTGGCACAAACATACTCAGTCTGGTATATTCAGAATAATTTTTAAATTATTCAATTAATTATTAATTAATTATTAAAAAAATTTTTTTATTAATTTAATATTTCTATTGCGTATGTTCAATAAACTAATTTAAAAGCCATATAAAGTTGGCTACCTACTGCATCAGACTGATATTCAATAAAAAATGAGTAAAAACTATGCTTTTAAAGATGCATAGATCTATAATATTGTGGATGAATGCATGTAAGGAGTGGATATACTAAACTTAAATTTTGTATGACTGTAAAAATTCATGGTATAGACATGTCGTGCTGTGTCAGTGATAGTGTCATGCCCAAGCATAAATTAATTCTTTGGAAAAATGAAAAGTATCAGACTGACAACCAGTGATAAAACAGTACAAAGAGACATGGCATTTTACATTATTGATTTCATGTTGCTCTTAGGGGTGTGTAAGTGGATGGAAAAGAGAAAGATTGAATGGATTCCTTAGGCTCTCCCATTTCTATTTTCACATCTTTATCCTATTTCCCACTGCCCTAAAAACCAGCCAAAAGATCTAGATAGTTCATAAATTAAAAGAACTCACCCTTTCACAGTCTGTGCTTGCATTTGAATTCCCCCCGTGTTTCTTGATGAATGCATCAAATGCATTTTCATCAGGATATTTTTGACTTCCCATAAAAACCACTAAATGAAATAAGAATAAATATAAAAAGGAATATTTAATAATTATTATTTATTGATTCCACTCAGATTCTACCCACCGTGTGAGAATCTTTGTGCAGTAAATGACTGACTGACTGATTGACTGACTGACTGACT